TAATAATTTTAATAATAAAAATAAAAATATTTTAAAAAATACACTTATTTGTTTTTAAACATGTCTTTATTAGTCATTTAATGTTAAACAACAGTTGCTAACAATTATATAACTAAACAATTATATTTATCGAATCCGCTATTTACCATCCGTTACTCACTTCCGCTATCTGTTAACCACCACCTGTTACCTACTACCATTATCCGTTATCCACTACCCGCTATTTGCTATCTGCTGAATTTTATCCGCTATACCAAACAGGCCCGTAATTGGATAGAATCAAATGTTTCTACTACTCATATTTGTGCCAAAAATTATGGGAAGGGCCAATTAATAAAAAAATTTAAAAATAAATTCATAAAAAAACATTAAATTTAAAATATTATTTCGATTAAAAAAACAATTATTATTTTGAAAACATCACCACATTAATTGCCAAGTGCTTGAATTATTAAGTGGGGACAAACATATATATTATATATATAAGCATTTATCTACCCTAGCGCCTGAATTATTAAGTGGGGGCAAACATATGGAAAATATTTTGCCATATATAAGCATTTAGGTTAAATCTAATTAGCATTCTAGAGTTTTATTTTATTTATAAGGTTAAAATAAGTCTAAAAATTTGTTGTTTATTAATGTGAGATTTGTTATCTGAAAAAAATCTAAAACTTTTCTTTTATAATATAAACAATTTATACCATATTATTTACATATTCTAGATGAAATTAATGTTTATTCGATGTACTCAAAAAAATAAATAACAAAAATAGAAGGAAAATACATTTGTAATATACTTTAAAATAAAATTAAGACTTGTGATATAAACTTGAGCATTTTAATGGTAATCTTTTTCTATTAAAAATAAGAAGTTATATGTTCCAATTGTAAATATAAAGGTGAATTGAAATAAAAAATGAGAAAGTATTCATTTCATTATACAATTCAAAATAAAAATAATAGTAATAATAATAAAAACAAACTAGTAATATGGGATGTTGACTGGAAACTGTCTTATATTACATTCGCTAGAGGATATAGAGTTTATATCTTTAGAACTTGAAAGATTTTTATGTTTATTATTTTTGGTGAATAAGAGATTTTTATTTGAATGATGCACTTTTTAAATGCTTCCTCTATCGGTAGGTAACCATAAAAGGAAAAAAAAAAAAAAAAAACAAGGAAAAATTAATGAAAATAAATTTAAATTCTTAGAGTGCAAATCTTACGTGGCCATTATTCTGAATTTTAATAATAATACCCCACCGTAAACTGGTGTAAAAAAGTCTTCAACACATTTCAGAACAAGTCTACCTAAAATAATTGTGTCTAAAATAAAGATTTTTTAAAAAATATATATATATATATTTTGCAATAGCATTCAAAGTATAAAGAGATGAGTGAAATTTTCATATTTTTCCCCAAATATTTATAACAGAAATTTCAATTGGGAACAAAAATCAACAATTTGTTTAAATTTTTTGGTATTTAAATTAGACAAAAAGAACTCTGTAAAGATCCAAACTAACATTATTGTTGCAAGCACACGAATATAAAACAAAACCATCTCGGCACCGGAATCAGGTCAAATGTTACACGATCAAGGGTAGCAAGGAAATAGTATACCATAAACTATGGCATGACATTTCACACTTGCTTGTAGAAGAGGACGTATGCCTGGTCATGCAAGACCTTGTTTGTCCCAATGGCAGTGACAGAGGCATCATCAAAACGTAGCCACTGGCCATTAGGATACTTGGCGTCGGCAGTATAATGCCCCTTGGATGGCTCTCTTCCATGGTGGGTTATTGTGGCTACAAGTTCATACTTCCGGCCCTGTAAAAAAGAAAAAAGAAACAATGACCCCAGTAAGTTAAACAGTCTAAGCACAATAACTAAATCTTGTGCTTCCGCAAAGGAGTGGGATAGTGGAAGTACAACCTCAGTAGTATTGGGAGAGACAAGCAGCTCACGACGCAACATCAATTCAAGAGGGAAACGAACAGGCTTAAGCAACTTGGTGCTCCCTTGGCTTTCATAACCGAATCGCTTGAGGTGCAGTATCATTATCTTCGAAAGTGTCTGTATCTGAATGGATTTTCTGGCAGTCACAACACCAGCCTGTAGGGCATAAAAAGGAGGAAAATTCCAGTTCAAGAAAATAAGCAGATCTCCCTAAATACAAGGATTATTTCAATTTAAAGGTCAAAGGAAAGGAAAATCTCAGCCTCCACAGTCAAAGACAAAGCAAAATGTGGTTCCATGTCCCACAAGTAATGACATGGTACCGTTCAACAAAAAATCAGGATGGAACCACTAAAATAGGCAATACTTGAATTAAAACAACAAATATATGGGATACCTTCCAAGCTGGTGCTCGATACCCCTCAAGAGGTTCAGCTGCACAGAACAAATGAAGTGCATCCTCAATTTTATGAACTTCCTGTGCATGGATATCAAGGTGAAGCAGGCGAAATGGTTCGACGGTAGCAGAATCTTTATTTCCTGCTCCAAATGAAAAGTACATAAAACCAAAAACACATAACGAAGGTTAATGATGCTACAAGACAAGGTCACATAAAACTCACTCAAAATGAAAGACCAACTCAGATGCAAACAAAACAAAGTTTAGTCCCAGTGGCTGGCTAGTATTTACCTTTTGCCTTCACTACACTTCTCAACCGTCCCCCAAAAATATCACTAAGCTCTGAACGAACAATGCTTTGCGTTCTTGTCACAGCTGATTTATTCTTTGGACCAACTGTCTCCCATTCATCGTCTTCTGCAGAAGAAACTAGAGACAACTTTGTCCCATTGCTGGCAGATTGTCCTTCAAGCTTTAGTAACTCATCATGCATTTGATCCATAATAAAACTCAAAAACTCTTGGGCATCTTCCTGCCTGGAAAAGATAAAAAGTAAAGGAATCAAAATTCAGTTACTAGTAACAGCTAACTACTTAGTTTCCAAGTACTTCTCTATCTAGATTGTCTTATTATTCTTTTTTTTTTCCAGCTTTTCATAAAAAATTTCATTGGCACAATTTTCTCCATAATACAATGGTAATGAGGCAACTTGAAAAATGACAAGAGAAACCATATTTGACATCAATAAGTAGATGTTGAAATTTGATTTGATATGTAAAAATGGATACCAAGACTTCAAATGCCTTTTAAATTTTAAAAAGAGAATAACATAGCATGTATAGAATAAATGATGGATGTAGAAATTTGAAGATGTAGAGTAACTAAACCTGCTTATTAAATTTCATAAATGAAGTGCTGAATGGGGTCTTAAAGTAGTACATCTGAATCTGTAGTCATGAGATTCAAACAAAATGCCATGCTTCCACCAAGAAAATTAGGGTTGTTCTAGAAAAAAAAAAGATTTGGGAATTTAAATCAAACATTAAACATCAAAGGGAAAAGTTAATACAAAAAGTGCACAAACCTTGGCCTGCCAGATATGCAATTTGGCACACCAGGAGTGAAATCTTTAAGGACATCTTCAAACATGACAGCACTAAAAGGCCCACCAATTTCCAGGACAGCCACATCTTTCTTCTTCAAGTTAGAATCGCCATGCATGTCAAATTCAGAAATAAACTCCACAAATGCATTTAGTGTTGGATAGCCAACCTAATAAATCAAAGTAAAAGAAAGCTTAAAATCAGAAAGTTATATTATTTTGACCAGTCAGTACTACATGTCCTCGTACAAAAGTAACAGCATATATTTCAAGATACTTCAAAATTGAGTTGTAATTCTTTTCTATTGATTAAAGCAAAAATAGAGAAAAGGAAGATGCCTCATTACGACGATTATATTCATTGCCAAACCCAAACAAGAACATCTTTAATTAAGAAAATGCCATCTTCTTACTTGCAGATACTTCAGCACATATTATTATCTTAACATCTGTATATATTTTATATCATGCATAAGTTCAACTGTTCAAGGAAGAAAGCAAAATTCATACCTTAGGAATGCGATGAAGTCTAATTTGCTGCAACAGCTCAACGAAAGGGGAGCAGGATAGGAGGGCCTGCAGAGTTGCACTGAGAAAGCATAAATTCCCAGAGTTGATTATTCCTCGAGGTAACAAGTTTCTAACGATAGGAACAGGCTCACTAGCTGCCTTGCTACTACCCACTTTGCCCATGCATGTTAATGAAACATCAGCTATCCCATTTTGTCCAATGCCATCTAACCTTCCATTGTCAAGAACATGAAATTTCGAGCTTGAAGACTCATTCAAGTGACTGCCTTCATTTTGTGATAAGCTTAGTGAAGCTATATCAATGGTGTTTGCTTTCAGTTCTTTCACACCATTACTGAGGAGAGACCCAGAGCTTGAACCCATAACACTTCCATTTTCTTTTGGAGCTCCAAATGTAACAAGTGTGTTGTTTGTTTCTATTTTTTTGCTCTTATCATCTTGAGGCAGTGAATTTGAGGACTGAGCAATTATTGGCCCATTTATAGAACATGGCTGTTTAATTGATTCCCCCTGGGAACTGGCCAAAGATCCTCCAGCTGCAAAATTCAACGAACCAAATTGCAGCTCTTGTTTTTGTACTGGCTTATCAGCATTCACAGCTGATTGCTTCTGCTTCTGCAGCAATAATCTGGTTTCATCCTCTGTAAATGAACCGAATATAATTACCTGCTAAAGCAAGACAGCACAAGAAAGAAAATATTTAACCATAGAAATCAGATAAATTGATTGAAAACCATACTCAAATCAGAAAACCAATTAAACAAAAAAGTTATTTCCATGATTACAAATTCATAGCTTCAGATTATTGCTGTATTTAATTCAATTAATAAAATTTCTCAAGATGGTTCAAAACAAACACACACAGATTAAGGCTCCCATTATCCCTTCTCCAGGTTCTACAAAACAAGCATTTTGGAAAGCAACCACGCATCAAAACCAGCTAGAAAATACGAAATTTGCAATTTCCATAGAAAACAAAAGTGCATTGCCATAAATCCACTGCATAACAATTCTGAAGATTTTATAAGAAATAAGTCCAAATCTTTGCAGCCAACACAGAAAAGGTTACACACGAATCCACCACATCACTACGTACCATGCAAAGTCCAGCTCATAATAGATTAGAATTCACAAACAACACTATCACTGAAAATTTATAAATAAATAAATAAATAAATAAAAACACTTTCAAGGCTAGAGAAGTTGAGACTTGGAATCAGAAACATGAGCTAACCTCAGAATCACTCATTTTTTTGTACAAAACCGAACTCGACCACCCAGAGATCGAATATGAAACCCCGAAAGCTTTCGACTTTGACGGCTAGGAACGATATAAGAAAAGACTGGTATACAATAGAAATCAGAGTCTCGGGTTTGCAAGGACCCTGAAACAGCAGAGCAGAGAGAATCGGTGATTGAAGACATGAAATAAGGAGGGGCTGCGAGGGAGAGAAACAGAGAGAGCATTTAACAGCAGAACCCTCTCGTTGTTCTCTTTAAGCCAACCAGAAGAAAGCATTTGCACCTTAAGGCTCCAAAGGAAGAGACTTTCGATTGATTTCTTCTGGGTTTGGGGTTTCTAGGGTTAGGTTTTGGGTTTCAGATGCGTGACGGCCAGAAGAAAGAGCCAACCTTCTCTGCTGTTTCCGTGTCGAAGCTATAAATAACCTTTGACCGGAGAGGCTACCCGCTACCGCTACCCACAAAGAAAAATGCAATGAGAGTAATTAATTAATTTAATAATAAGTTTTTATTAATTATAATATTTATATAATTAATTTTATTTATTTATTAAATTTTATAATATTAAATAACTTATTATTTAATAATATATAAAAATTATATAAAAAATACAAAAAATCATTCTTGTATCACTATCAATCATTAAAGGGGATAAATTCTATTTTTGCATCCGAACCTCGGGATTGTTGTAAAATTGCTCTAAATCTCTCTTTCCTGGATTGCACTCCGAAACTTTTAGGCAAGACCTCAAATTTTGGTTTAAAGGTTTATGTGACTTATGTCCAAAGGATAAAATGTATTAATTATATTTTTTTATAATTAATTTATATAAAAAATAAAAATTAATTTTAAATTTATTAATTATGTAATTAAAAATTATCTAAATAGTATTAGTATTAAAAATAATACCTTATTTTTACATTTTTTTATAAAATTTTATTTCCAAATAATACAATTAATATTCTTAACATGTGCCTTTAAAAAAACCCTTACATTATCTTCGGTTTGAGAGGAGGGGAAGTAAGGGGAGAGAAATATTTTTTAACTAATCAAATTTTAATATTTAAAAATATTATAATTTGATTAATTACAATACTCTCATTTCCTTTTTATTCCCCTTAACTTAATCATACAATTAAAATAATTAAATTTATGTTTTTGATTCCTAAAATTTTTAATTTTGGCTTCTTTTTTTTTTTGTCTCTCATTAACTTTTACAGTAGCTTACTTGACATGTTTATTTAGGACCAAAGTTGTTTTTTCCTTCAAAGTAATGACATAAAAATTTCACACAGCTTGATGATTTGGCCAAATTTATTGTCTATTTTAACTTAAAAGCTTATTTAATCATAAAATTACCATTAAGTTATACCCTAATTTTGTTACCTAACTTTTATATAGACTCTTAATGTAATCCCTAAATTAAATAAATCTCTATTTTGGGACACAAAGAGTCAGAATTTAAAATTTTAGAAACTAAAACAAAAATTGAGGTTCAACCAAACTTTTAAGAGACATTTGAAAGGAACTGTTTCAAATACTGTCTCTTTTAAGCAATTTTTAGATTCAATCAAGGTAATATTTGAAATATCATTTCATACTAAACACTTACATTTTTTATAGGAACACTTAAATTTATTAGACAATAACAAAATCAACAAAATAATTAGACGTAATATGCCTTTTAGAAATGAAGAGGTAAGAGGCAAGGGAAAATTTTATTTAGAAATTCATGATAGAATTAAATATACACTACTTTTTTCTTCTAAATTATTATAATAAAAGCTTTAAAATTATGGTAATTTTATCAAGTTATTAATTTTACAATGACTAAGTTTTGCCAACAACTTAAGTACTTCAATAATTGAGTAAAGGTACAAATAAGAATGT